AATAGATACATACACATATGTGGTCATGGGTCTAAACCTTTGTTATAATCGTATTTGCTAAATAATTATTCCAAACATCAATTTTGAGTAAATTAGCTTCAGTCTTCTTCTTCTTCTTATTTGGCGCTGAAACCACCAAATACATAAATTCTGGCCGAGTTCAGTTGTTTCTCTTCTGTGCCAACTGACGCCAATTGGAAATGCCAAGTGAAGCCAAGCCCTTCTGCACTTGCTCTTTTCATCGCAATGTGGGCCTTCCACTTCCTCTGTTACCACCAGCGGGTTCCAGGTTGAATACTTTCAGAGCTGGAGCGTTGGTGTTAATTCGAACGACATGGCCAAGTCAGCGGAGCCGTTGTATTATTTTTTATTAATGATTTTTTTCATTCCATTTTTTGGACCATAAAAAATAGTTAATATTAGAAACTTTTTCAATAAACAATTAAGTATTGTTATTGGAAGTCTGCTATGGGGAAACAGAGTTTTCCCATCGAAAAATATTGATTTTCAACACTTAAAATACATGGAGGACATCATGGGCTTTGAGGCAGTTCTAAATATCATTATCTTTTAAACAAAACCAGTATGGTAATTCTTTTTTCCCATTTAGAAAAATCATGGGGGGTTAGAGCTTAACATTTTGAATTATCCGGCCCACTTGTATTTTTGGACTACCTTAATCTTCATACACATACATATAACAGCAAATTTCTTGAAGATCAAAACCATAGCGTATCTGCACAACCTTCGGCACGTTTAGCTAAACAAATCATAAATCATTGCTATGAAATATGGAAATGCAAATTCCGGAAAAAAGTAAAAGAAACACAAAAATAATACAAAAATCAGAATATTTTATACATAACTGTGCTGCACACACATATATATGTACATATATGTAAACATGAGAATTTGCAAATTTGAAATTAAATAGCATTCAAAATCGCAGAAATCTTTAGTCATCACTTAACTTAGACAGCTCATAAAGATATCTGTGCCAACGGCTGCGCTCAGCCCAACTGATAAGCGTTGAATACATACATATGTACATATGTAAACTAAACAGTTGTTGCTTTGCAGAATCTTATTTAAGATCTTGTCTTTCAAGTTCTTTGTATGCTGGTGAACTACTTTCTTATGTACCATACATACAGTGACTCAAACAAGTGGCCATGTGTTGATGTTTTTTTTAATATTCACAATGTAGGTGATAACCTGATAACAATGCTACCATGCACACTGTTTTTAAAGTTAAATTCTTTTGATATTTTTCTTTAAAAATTAATCCAAGTTTTAGCCAAAACTTAATGAATCAAAGTTTCAAACTGTATACAAAATTTAGAATAATTCAACAAATTTGCATACAAATTTTAAATTTTTTTTCTAGCCTAATGAAGTGCAAGTTTAAAGCGACTGAAATCGCGTTGATTTTAATAATTCTTGTGTGCTGAGGGATTTTAGCACGTTTTCCCATATAAACATGAATTTCGTATGAAATGAAATGCGGAAGAACGTTTCGCAACAGAATTTCAAAAAAATCGACGCCAGTTTTTTATAAATTGCACTTGATATACGTATAAAAAAAAAAACGCAAAAGTCGTCACCAAAAAAAAAAAACAAAAAATATTAAAAATCAACTCGAAATTTTAGCCGGTTGAAACATGCACTTCATTGAACTAAAATTGTATATCCAAAAAATTGCATACCCAAAAATGTTTAAGAGTCTGTATAAAAAGTTTGAAATTTTGAGGAAATGCGGTTTATTTTCCAAAATTTTTTATTAAGGTTAAAACTTCGATTCACATGTATGGTTTACGTTAAAGCTTGTACAATATTTTTAAAGAAAAATTTTTAAATTAAAATAAATTTAAAGAAAAAATTTTAAATTTTTATGTTGAATACATGGAGCCCACACTGCGAAAATAACGCAACTCAATATGCGCAAAGCAAACATTTGAGAAATTCCAACTTTTTGAATTCAAATTGACGTTGTTTGAAATGGGAGCTGACGACGCCCACTTGATCTCCACCCCAAATGTACATTCCTCGATTACTAGGTAATGCAAAATGCATTTTCGAATGTGATGTGTGTTTTACTGATTATTTTTTCGTGTACTATACATTGCGTTTACTCACTGGGTTGTATTAATATTATGCGCCTACCAATATGCAAATACATACATACATATGTAGTAGAGCAACACGACATTAAACCAATTATAAAATATTTGCGTTTCATTCTTGTGGAATAAATTTACATACATTTTTCACATCTTGTAATCTGGTTTATTCTTTGTCATGCGGCTGAGTAAATAACTTTTCCTATGAATTATTCAGTAGCTGCAAGCCGTCGAGCAGACAATAGAAAGGCCAGTAAAGAGATTACTATAAAAAACTTTATATACAAGTAATGAAATAAATAATCTTCAATTAGTCTACAGAAAATCAATGTCAGTCGTAAGCCATCCCAGCCAGCAAAATCATCGTAAACAAGCTCGTAATTGGATATTTTCTCGAAGAAAAACCGGATTAAAAATCGTTTATGATAGCCGTTTACGACTCTTTTTCGAGCACTTTTTCGCATTAAATTGTGCATCGCCTACGAACAGTCGTAAACGGATCGAAAAAGCATTCGTAAGCGAATATTTTTACGTCCGTTTTTTAATTGTAAACGAGTTTCGTAAACGATTAATTTACGTTAAAAAAGCGTTTTTTTACACTGCTTTATCTACTGTTTTTGAATGCTAAAAATAAAGGCAATTAATTAATTGAAATTATTGTAGTTCTTTTATTGAATGGAATTATAATTAATAAATATTTATAGTGCCGGATCTAAGTATTGGCATAGAGAATTTTTCGCAATGTATGCAAAGTTTTTTACTTAAATTTCTTTTCGCACATTATTTTTTTTAAATATAGTTAGTACTTTCAAATCAGATTTTTGAGAAAAATTCTAAGTATGCAGTTTTATATCCCATTATATTTTAGTATAACATAGTGCAAGCTTGAAGTTGCCAGAAAACCGAGTTGATTTTTGGCAATTTTTTCACGCAGTTTCTTCCATGCAAATTATTTGCGACATTTTTTTTTGTATGGAAGAAACTGCGTGTAAAAAATTGTCAAAAAACAAAGAGGTTTTCTAGCTATTCAAGTGTGCACTTTATTATACTAAAATTAAATGGGCTATAAAACTGCATACTTAAAATTTTTCTAAAAATCTGATTTGAAAGTAGAACTTCTTACTAACTATACTTTTATAAAAATCAATTAGAGAAGAAATCAGAATAAAAAACTTTGCATTCATGACGAAAAATTCTCTGTGCCAATATTTTTTTCCGGCACTGTATATCTGAAGATATTTTCAGATAAATAAATATTAACAAACTATCTATTTCCAAATTAACAATTAAATAAGAGGGGTTTAATGTATATTATAAAGTAGCTGAATTTATTTTTTCTTTTTTGCGGATAGGCTGCCAATTTTTTTTGCCGGTCGTGTGCATATTGGAAGTGCTTCTTTGAAACGGAAATAAAAACTTCGTCGGAGTTAAATTTTTGACGAAAAGCACCTAAAAAAATAAAGTTAAGGATTAAACTCCATTGGAAATCGGAAAATAAATAAATAGTGGTAATAAATAATATTATAATCAGTACTTCTTATTGCCGCAGTCGTTGCCAAACCAATAGCGTTGCATTTGGTACCAGTTCCCTTCCACGAGAAAAGTTCTGCTACCTCATCTGTAATAATTTTCCGCCAGTACGTTCTTAAACATTTATCTACATTTAAAATATTTATAGCTTCGAGTTCAGAAACCTATAAAGTGTTTAAAGAATGCAATAAAAATTATTTTATTATGGTTAATTTATGTTTTTAGTTACCAATAATTGTTGTTTTTCACTTGAACTCCCAAGGTCTTTTTCAAATTCCATAAATGCATGCTTTTCCTTAAAGGGGCTTCTTGGCAGGACGCCCTCTGCAATGGTTGGTCTCTTATTGTTTCGAAGGGTACCATTTTCTTTCCTTAAAGCAATCACCTCTGAAAATAACCGCTCCAAAACAGCTCCAATTTTTGCATCCATCTGATTCACTTTTTCGTTTAAGGGGTCCACGGTTTTTTTTTTAAGAAAGTGGTAGATCGTCCTTTGCGTTTGCACCAGTCTGCCAATAAATCACATACTTAATAATTTTCTTAAATTAAATATTTAACAAACTACTTACTTATAAAATATTGTGATTGAAGAAAAATTGTCAACAAAACTAAAATTTTTTCTTGTGCTGACAAATTATTACAAGCCTCTTTCTATTATATTTTTTTGTTTTATCGTTTACGAGCTTTTCTCTAACTTTTTGGCGATACGAGAATCCCTCGTAAAACATAATGTTCGTAAAATGTACGTTTTTTTGCTGGCTGGGATACCGCAGACGCGTTATATGTGTACGTAAATTAGGGTGTCTCAGAATTTATTCAAAGTTTTCATGAAAAATACACGTGAAACAATCGAGGTATATTCCAAAACATTAGAGTGCCGATATATTGCCGATAGAAAGAGAGATACGATAAGAAAATGACAATTTTACTTTTCGAAATTCAAGGGGATCCTCAAATTTTTATTGACAGAAAGAAATTCAAATTTAAAAAAAATCAACACAGGCTGTCCCTATTCATTCTCCTGACAGTGTATAGGTTAATAATACTTTTAGAAAAATTTAGGGTACGCAGTTTTGCAGCCAATTTTAACGTAGTATAATAAAGTGCAAGTTTTAAGTGTCTGTAAAATACCGTTGATTATCGGAAATTTTTTTGTTGACGGTATCATGCATTTTCTTCCATATTAAAAAATTGTCGACCAGACTTGTCATAACAAAAACTATTTAAAATCACTCAATGCATTAAGTATTTTAGATTTTATTTTGTGTCAACATATTGTTTGCACATATTGGTACATAAACATATTTGAAATAATTCTATATTTATTTTGTGTTAATTTGCATATTTTAGAAGTTGGACGTATAAAGTAAAGTGCACCACTAGTAACAACAAATTTATCTGAGTTGAAGGCAATCAAAACGAACTATTAAATTGAAGAGAATACCGAATGCCCACAAATACAATCCTATCGAGAATGCAAACAACCAATCAAAACAATTACATTACCGCCGAAGATATACCATCTATAGCAAACAAGACCACCAATAACCAAATAGAACCTATTAAAAACTATAATGCTTTAAAAGCAGAACACTCTTTAGGAGGTACGTCTGTAACAAATATGACAACGACAAAGAGCCACAAAGCAGCTTCTACACCGATGGACCAGCAATCACAATTCGAGGAGGACAATGATAATTGTATGATTGATATAGCCACAATGCAAATTGCTGACGATAGCAATAATGTAGTCAAGCCAACTGGCTCGAATTCCAACAACTACAGCAGCAATAATAAATGCACATGTGGGGATGAGCAGAGCGATACGAGACAGAAGGCTACCGCCGTGGGGGAGCAACTGAAATGTGCTGGGACGGAGGGGGACAGCGACAATGAAATCGATATGAAAACTACAATCGAAAACAAATGTGAAAATATAAAAATTGAGGATGAGCGGGAAGATGATAGTTTAGTGCACGACTACCTTAATGTTTTGGAGATCAACCAAGCTGAGGAGGAGCAAACCATTACTGAACTAGTAGATGCTAGTGGGCAAAGAAAGTGTATAGAAGCGTAAGTAGAACATTAGACAGTTTTGGCAAACTATTTCTGTTTCTATGTGTTTGTACGAGTATGTTAATTTGCAGCAAGCAAAGCAATGGCATGCGCGTCGCTTTTGGTATAATTTTTAGGCTAATGCTGCCGTTGGCTAACAATGTTATGCGCAGCTTCAAGGGCATACGTGATGTACGATTTTTGCGTATATTGAAATCTATTGCTTCCAGCCGACAAGCACTCACCAACTTGATGGCGTTTGCGGCCAATACAATATCGCTTAATTTGTCGTCGGTGCAAGGTGCGTATACGTAACATGCGGTACTGTATATTTTGTAGTTGAATAACACAGATCCACAACAAAAATCTATGAAAGGTTCCTCTGACCAAATCTAGGTGAATAAGTAATATTTACAGGAAATTGTATGACCAACAAACTGCATGCAACAAAACCTGCTGATGTCAGATGAGACTGGCATATTATCGTATAGTTTATCCAGAGATAAACTCTAAGGGCTGATTTTGCAGTTGGTGGCAAGGCGATATATGTATATCTTTTTTTACTAAAAATAATTTATTATTTCCTTACAAAGTATGAAGCAGTCGAGATTTTTTGACACCCTAAGCTACTGAACAAATTTGGACAAGATGTTATTAATATAATCTGTATCGATAGGGCTATTCTCTTAAGTACTTAGACATTTTAAAGATAGCGTTGCCGCCTGTCTAAAAAATTATAGGATCCGCACCGTTCTTTAGATTACAAAAAAATAGGTGTCAAATGAAAGAGCTTGACACTACTAGAAGTTCATTAAAGTTCTACCCAGAATTGCAACGGACGACGGTAAAGCGGTCGACGGTTAATCGCTGTCAAAATTAAAACTGACCAAGGCATATGGAATGGCTCATTATTGCGATTGATTTAAATTTATTTCTATTTTTACCACTCAGCGGAGACAGCACACGATTTATTGAGTGTTGATTGTAGTATTTTTTATTATTTTCACAAGTTTAGCAATGTGTTTATCCATTTTCATTTCCAGCAAATCTACACACACACACACAAAAAAAAATTCAATTTTCAAATCAAAATGAGTCAGTTGTCAAAGCCGTCGTGCGTTCCAATTGTGTTTACTCTGACGGATTTCACTGCAGCAACTGTACAGCTGTTCACCTACCGCCGACCGCTTTGCCACCGTACAGTGGGCAAAAAGGTTGTGACAAATTAATTTTGAGATACCAAATATGAACCGATTTCTAATTTCTTTTTTTTTTTTTAAATAAAACATAGTTAAATTTCGCGTCGATCTATCCGTGGCGATTTTTTAAAAAAGTTCTGGTTTTTTATTTATTTATGTTCAAAAATTAAGAAAAAAAAATAGTTTATTAAATATTGTAGGTATTTAAAATTCCTGTGAAGTATTTTCCAAAAAATTGGTAGCATTCAAACGTAAAATTTTTTTTCTTTCATTTTTCAACATAAATAAATAAAAAACTGGGGCATTTTAAAATAATCGCCACAGACAGATCGACGGTAAATTTTATGTGCTCTTATTAAAAAAAAGAGACTTGAAATCGGTTCACATTTGGGCTCTCAAAATTAATTTATCCACAGCAATCTTTCTTGCCCCATTGTGCGCCGTCCGCTGTAATTCTGGGTAGAGCTTAATGTATTCATTTGTTAGTAGGGTTGCCATCCTTTTCAAATAGGTGTCAAACGAAAGAGATTGACTACTATTTATTAATTTGTGAGCAAAATTTTTCAAAATTCCAAGATATTCAAAGTTCGTTGGACTAAAATATGAGATACTAAGTGAACATACATACATATATGTGCAATAAACTTTCATTTTTTCTAGTGGGGTTACCTTCTATTTAAAAATGTTTACCTTTAGATATGCAATAAAGTTTTATGTTTGGAGTTTAGAGTTACCGCCTGTCTCAAAAAATATAGATCCACACCGTTCGTTTCATGAAAAAGATGAGATGTGAAATGAAAGGTCTTGGTTTCCTCTGGAGTAAGGGCAATAGGGATTGCAAATGACTTGCTGTAGCGAGAAGATGTTGAGAAAGATAAAAACGGAAAATTAATTTACATTCATTTATTATACGCCCTTTCTTCACAATATACATTTTTTTTTTTTTGTTAGATGCTTTAGTGAAGACAATACCCATGAGTCCTGTGGATTAGCCTAATAAATTTCAATAAAATTTTAATTTCTGGTAAAAGTGTGTTTTGCTATGAGCATAAATAAGGCGCTGGGTCAAACGGTTAATGTGGCCGGTATATATTTCAGTGCACCATGCTTCTTACGCGGATAACTACCCAAGAGTGAAAAATTATCGATTGTTAAAACAAACCAACTTATAGTTAGCTTTTTGGCGAGATTTCGATTAATACCTCACTTTTAATTAGCTATGACAAAACCAACTTAAAGTGAATTGCAAAGTCGTGCAGGAGTCATGCAGACGCAATCGGGAGTTGGTTTTCTTTACAAGTTTCTATTAAATATCCTCATACAAAAATTACTTTCAATACACTTTTTTTCTGAACTTCGCAGATTCTTTTTCATATTCAGGACAAATAAAAGGAAGATCGAAATTTTATACTATCATTTTGAAGTTATGTCTGACGGTATTCGAATATGGGGCCACCCAAAGCAGAATATATAAACAAATATGAAATGTAATAAAATAAAGTAAATAAATAAGTAAATAAAAAAGTAAAAAAACAAAAAAATATTTTGTTTTTCTTATTGATATTTTATGTCCAAAAGTAGTTAGTTACAAGTTAGTTGACATGTAATGCAGAGGTATCCAGGTCTGACTTTTTTGCGGCCATCGCCCCACAAAAGTAGTTAGCTTTTTTCGAACAAAATACACAGTTAAAAGTTAGCACTAGTGTTCGCGTAAACAGACTAAAGTTAGGTATAAGCTAACGTCACTCCCTGCAGGGTATGTATATGTGGCTCTTTGACGTGTACACATTCAGAGCGTAGTCTCCAAAAATCTAGCCGCAATTAAAAACTCTTACTCATAAACATTTTACATTTTACATTTTACAGTTTCTCAACGTATCGATCCAATTCTGAAGCTTCTCAAAATACGTAAGTCCCCCGATGGCATTGAAAGTCTACCAGATACGCCGTCTATTAACAGTATATCCTGGTTTCCCACCTCCGCAATATCGACACCGCCGCCGACTCCTAAAACGCCTAGCACTCCTACTATGCCATTTCTTTCACCTTCATTTCGCGAACCTTCGGGAGTGATGCCTGCTTTTTCTACCAGCAAGCGAAAAACCACAATACCACAGACGCCCGCGCCAAAATGCTGTACATTAAAGGTGCTGGCAGAACCGCCACCAGGAGAGCCCATACGCGCCGACATTGTCTTCATACACGGGCTGCATGGTTCTTTGGTAAATACATGGAAGCAGGGTTTATGGGAGAACGAACGTCAACCGGAAGGTTTCGAACGGCCACCAAAACCACCAGTACGACCACCTAAACGGCCAAAGCATTCACGCGCGGTCTTGTTGCATCCACCACACAAGCAAAAACGCGCGCGATTCGCGCACAGCGACTCCAATCAGCGGGCAACACAAGAGCAAATGGAGTATGATGAAGTTAAAGATTTGGATGATGGCTTCTTCGACGCAACTGAACAAGAATTGAGAAATGGGTACGGTAATTATGAAGTTCGTATGAAAAAATTTATGATTCATTCTTTTGAAATTTTCTAGTATTTCCTATGTTTGTGGCGCGCCACAAGATGTAAAAAACTGTGATGGCATCGAATACAGTTTTCCCACATTCCGCTTACGTCTGAACGACAATGGCCGTCAACTGCAGGCTGAGTTCGAAAAGATGCAAGAAAGCGCTGCGAATGACAATGACCCACACTTGCAGCCGCCACAACAGCAGGCGAACAGCGGCAGCAAGCAGAAAAATTCAACCAAACTCACTTCCGATGATCCGAATTATTCCAAATGCTGGCCTGCTGATTGGCTGCCCCTAGACTGTCCTAGTGTTCGTGTCATAGCGCTTAACTACACCACCGATCAATACTTGTGGCGACCACTATGGAAAAAGAAGGAACCACGATCTAACCTAATTGAACGTGCACGCGAAATGACTGAGCTGCTGATCAAGCATCGTATCGGTTATGGTCAGCCGATCGTGTGGGTGGGCCATTCTAAGGGTGGCCTGTTTATTAAGCAAATCATTGTCGACGCATGGGAGAGTGGACGACCGGCTGTGGCGCCTTTATGGCGTTCCTCACGCGGTGTATTCTTCTATTCGGTGCCGCATCGTGGGTCTCATTTGGCTTGCATTAAGGCGCCGCTCCTAGCGCGATCCATCGAGATGTTGGATATTGAGAAAAGTGAGTGAGCCACGTTTGTTGTCCTAAAAAAAAGAAACCCACTAATATTTTCATTTGCAGATAACAAATATTTATTGGATTTGCATAGACGCTTTGCGGGTCTATATCACTTGGGTCATATTAAAATTGAGGTGTTTAGCTTTGTGGAGACTGCATTAACGCTGATGTCTGTGCTCTATCTGCGCATTGTGGGCGTGGATTCGGCAGGTGAGTAGGATATATTAAGTGTGGAATGCTGACAGTTTTGTCTTTGATTCATTTGTTTATTTAATTGTCGGTTCTTATAAACTTGTCCTTGCGTTATTGACAGATCCTGGCTTTGGTGATGTGTGCGGCATACGCTTGGATCATCGTGAAATTTGCAAACCTCGCGGCAGAGATTGTATTCTTTACAAAGAATTGGTTAAGATGATTAAAAAAGTGATTGAATTTGATGAACATAAGCCATTTAGTGACTAGAAACTGTTCGTACCTTATTGGATTAAAGTACAATAGATAGAAATAGTATGAGACCAAAAAATAGTAAATATGAATTACAAAAAACGCAAACATATTTACACGTATATACTTGTAGAAATAAAGTTAGTAATAAATATTTCGCAAAATATGGTATACATACATATGTATGTGTATATTATATACTTATGTAAAACATTTAGCGTAGTATATATAAGTTATAAAGATACATATAAACTTAAGAAAAAGTTATTAATCGGATATTTTATGTACATAAATATTGTGATTCAACTTCAAATACTTACATACATATATTCAATAACACAGACGTGAATTTTGACTTGGGCAAGACTATTTGCATAAAATGTTTGCAGTAATATTTGAAATTTTAAGGTTAGTTTTAAAAGTTTTTAAATGTAAAAATCTCTCCCGTTTTTTTATCCCCAAAATATCTGACGTAACGTTACGGAACGGAGATTTTCATTGTATAAATTTTTGTAAAGATTAGGTCCATTCAATATCAGAAAATTGTTAAGAATTGTTGCAAGTACTTGCATCTTTTTACTGAAAATGCTTTCGATAACCAAAAAAATTTGCAAGATAGAGCGAATTCAAGAGCGTAACAATCCGAGAGAGCTGCAAATTCCTGCAAGTAAAAATTTTACTGGCAGGAATTTGCAGGAGTTAAAAAGTAAGGTTATGTTTCGAATTCAAACGTAAACAAAGTGTTTAAGAGGATGATTTGATGGAACATAAATAGTGAAATGAAAATATGGATACTCAATTTAAATCGAATGTATATTTTTTTTTATGACGATGGGAACTATTCCGAATTAAAAAAAAAATTGTTCGCCAAAACTTAACCGTCAGAAAGTGTCAAAATAGCGCAAGTTGCAAGTTTTTACCAGTCTTGCGTTCAATAACTTTTTCTGATAATTTTCTCTTGCGCTAAATTTTACTCTGTAATTTTTCCTTACGCTCTCGCTGCAAGTAACTACTTACTGGAAAAGTTATTGAATGACCTATTGTTTTGAAACGATTTTTAACGCAAATTAAACACGAATTTTTTGTCGAGTATATTTTAAATTTTGACTTAAGCGCCCCCTAGCGGGTCTGTTTTTTGTATGTCTATGTGCTATTGTGTTCCAACTACATATGCCAAATGCTGAACTAGATCTGTTTATAAATACTGCTATTCGAAAATATCTCGTTTCTTCCTAACATCACCAATATACTATATTATAAAAAGTAGTCAAATCGGTCCATAAATAAATTCCTGCGGTAGACTTTCCGCTGGAATCGCCCATATGTCAAGTATCGGTACTTTTGCCTGCAGGGTACGCGTGTATGTACATACTTCTAAGCACCATTTAGGCCGCTGATTCCGAACGCAACATTCGTTTTTTTGTAAGTTGTATGTATATGTTTATTAACAGCCGCCGTCTCCGAGAGGTTAGAGGTGCGAAATTCCACAGGGTAGGACCAAGGTTCGTTCTTGGTCACAGCGACAACAAAAAAAGTTGTTTTCTAAAAGCTGTTGCTTCTCGGTCTATTTCTGCTATGAGAAGGTTTTACATAAAAACTATTTACCGTTCGGAGGCGGCGTAAATTTGTGTAACAACATCGGAGGAGAAGCTCGGCCAAACGCGTGGGAAAATGTGTAACCGCCAGAATATATGTACTATTGTTCATATATATGTATGTATGTAACTCCAGATCTAAAAAGTATCCTCCAATATTGGAATTACCAACACTTAAGGAACGGAAGCTTATGTAAATATGGGCGCATGAGCTGTATATAACAGAAAACTACAAACCAAATCAGACAAGGGAGGACAAAAATGCGCTCCAAAATACATATCGTTACCTTAATATTCAAACGCCCTAACTCATTTTCTTTTCAAATCCAGTATTGTAGAAAAGTCTGCCGATAACTCACTAAGCATCTACTGAATTTTAAAAATATCTACTATAGCATAAAATTAGTGACATTCTTAAATAAAAAGAGCCTTTAAAAGAAATTCACAGCAAAAGATTTTACTATGTATGGAGGTTTCTCATCACTCCGTAAAGAAACAATAATTTTAGATATGTATGTACAGCATGATCTAAATCTAAAGCTAAGTACAAAGTAATGGCTGCTAGCCCAGCCCGTCTTTTATGCTGACTAAACGATTATTAACGATTGCTTCCATTTGTGTCTCGCAACAAGGATATTTGTCTTCCTTGCAACTTTACTTAATTTCACTATGTTAAGTAATTGTAACAAGAACAAAAGGCGCTCGTTTTTTTTTTTTTTTTTTGATAAAGTAAGGAAGGTTTGATGACAATTTTAGCCTCCTAAGGCATCAACCCGAACTTTAAACTTTAAAACCCTTTAGGAATATTATGTGTAAACAAATATATACCAAAAGTTATATATATATAGGCAAATATTGCAAAATTTATAATAAATCTCAAACAAGAACGAATCTGAAAAAAAAAACGAAGAATATATTCGGTATCAGCGACCTAAATATATCCTAGAAATAAATATAAATATATGATTTTGGCTGTAAACCAGTGTAAAGGCAGTGTCCCACCATTGGGCATTTACCCAAAATTTGTTACAAATTGTATCCCAATTGTGTGAATGAACAAATATTTTTGTTTATCCCAATTACGAAAAACAATTTTTCAATAGAAGTTCGCGGTACTGTACCAATCGTGTGACTACAAAAAAAAAATTGTGGTCCCAATTTTTTTTTTATTTTTTACCAATAGCCCCATATAAAAACTGTACAAATCTGTACAAATGTACCAATCGTGTGACACTGCCTTAATACAATATAATAAATGTTTAACAAAATATTTATTACTTATTATAAAAATTATTGAAATGAACTTTGATATTCTTCATATATTATATGCTAATATTTACATATTACATAAGTGAAAAATACTTTAGGCTATGAATATTGACTAAACAAATTTATGTAAATGCTTTACCAGCATGATTACTTAACGGTAGCGTGGTATTTAGATAGACTTTGTGATGAGCTCAATAAAATGTGATTATTATCAAAGAAACTACGATAGATATGTAGCTACATATGTACATACGTATAAGAAGATATTGTGCTAAGGAAATGAAAGCAATTTTTTAATTATGTGTGTTTATACATATAGTACCTAAGCATTATGGTACAAATATGTAAGTTACCAAAAGTGTCAGAGTCAAATTACTTATCTTAATTTAGTATGTAAAATTCAATTTTAATTGTACATATATGTATGTCTACAGCTGCAAAAGCAAATCAAATAAAAAATTAATGTGCGATATACATCCAATAATTAAATTTATATATGAGGCCTTGAGAACAAGAGTAGCCTAACTGACATTAAAAAAAATAAGTGTAGATTAAAATACTTTACTAGAACCGAGGCGTGCCCTTTTAGCTTTCTGTTACCATAAAAGGTGATTTCGTTTGTCCCAAAAAATGGGTTTCTTCTATCGTGCAAACTATGTATGTTTACACTCAACCTTTTAAAAGTGCAAGTTTTGCCTACGTATTTACTTAGGGCAACCGACACCTTTCTTACCTTACCTCAATGTTAGGCAGCCGCCGTTGATCGCCCACCTAGTTATCTGGGTTAGGTAACCTTGAGCCAGATCAAAAAAGGTGTCTAGAAATCGTCCCTTAACTAAAATTTCCACATCGTCTACATAGGCGATCACCCGACAGCCCACTTTTTCCAGTTTCTCTAGAAGGTCGTTTACAACCGAAATCCAGAGCAGGGGAGAGAGAACACCACCTTGTGGAGTGCTCCTAATGACTCTGCGCTGAGTGCAGGCGCGTCCACACTCTGCCACGATAGTTCTGTCCGCGGTAGTAAGCTGTAGATAAGCCTTATTAGGTGGGGTTCAACCTATGAATATGCCTGACTGTTGCTTCTGGTGTGACATTGTTGAAGGCCTCCTCGATATCGTAGAAGTAGGGGCCCTACTGCATTATCTTTATGCAAGAAAGGTTCCTCTGACCACTTTACCAATGTATTCAGGGCGATATTCACCGACCTTCCGCTCTTCTCTCTATCAGTCTCTCTAGAGTTTTAAGCAAAAACAAAGAGATATTCCGCCCGTCGTCATCGTTATCGTCGACGATCGTCAGCGCATCAGTAACATGGCTGCCGATGGCCGTATCGTCACTTTTACTGCCGATGACGATATTCAACATAGGGCGGAATGAGTGGCCTAAAATACCTAGGGGAAACACGTACGCCTTTTCCGGCCTTCAGGCTGAACGCAACACTGACTACCCTCCAAGCCTTGGGGATGTACCCGGTCCTAACGCAGTTCGCATAAATAGGATACAACCAATTGCACGACAGCTTCAGATCCCTTCGCAGCTGCGCAGGTATGATGACATCGGTCCGCGGCGACTTTAATTGTTTGAACGAATTTATCGCCCAGGTCATGTGACGATCGTCCAGAAGATCTGAAAAGTACAGGACCTGGGCGAAGATTCTGAAACCAGTTAGCTACAATTTTCGAATCGTTATCGCACTTTTTGACGCAAAAACATTTATATCATGCATCAAAAAGTGCGATAGCGATCCGAAAATTGTCGCTACTTTACAATTTGATAGCAAGTTCTTCTGTCAAGCGTTATACAAGGTCAGTATTAATATCACCGATGATCTTTGTAAAAAGTGCAGATAGAATTTAGTTTTGGAACTCACCCGCGATGCAAGATTACATCGTTAGATTTGATCTTCACGTTTTTGATAAGCTTTGTGAATATGTTAGAAATGAGCATAAGGGGGTCCACCGAAACCAGTAAAGCTTTGAAACGGGTCTACGAGAAAAATAAGTTTGGGAACCTCTGGTGTAAACCCATCACAAGGTAAGAAACAACAAAACGCAAGTAAATAATTATTTGTTTCAAATAAATTATGTTTGTATGTATTTCAAATTTAGCCATTTCTGCATACAATGTATTTTTTAACATTAATCAGCTTTCTTTCTTAAGAATAGCAAGTGATAGTAATTTTAATTAATTTGTAAAGTAATTTTAATCGTTGCTGACAATTGATAGGGAAAGTTG